TATTCAAATAATGGTATAAGAAAAAATTTTTTTAAAAGCATACAATTCATATACTATACTTGCATATATAGGTACATAAATATTAAAAAGCATAAGTAATTCATCTGTACTTAAGTGATGTATTAATGTTTTTTCGAGCGAAGTCGAGGAATTTTTTTATAGAAGGTACCTGTGACCTGTGTATTTTTAAACATTATTTTCTCCAAAAGTTAAACTCGATTTTCAGCTATGAACACCACACCTATTTGTTTGTTCCGGTCGATTAAAAAAACCACACATTACACGGGACATGAACGCACATATATATTTACAATATATTTATAGGTACATGACAAGGTATCTACCTACACGGCTACACGTGATTTGAAAATATATATAATAAAATTATATATATATTTATTTTGTATAACTATGTATATAACATAATATACATTATACACATCTATGTGTAGTACATAAATGAGTAGTATTCGAATTTATAAAACGTCATGTACATGTCTAAAGACTATTTATTTTCGTGTGCATGTTCGAAATGATACCTAGATGCAGAAGAGGGACGGTTCTGTAATGAAACAGAAAAACAACGAAAAAAAATGACTGGCTACGATATAATAATAGTATCCAAAAATAATATAAAAATACATAGGTAATTATAAATTATAATGCTCTTCTGACTATCGTGGATACTCCTTCCTAACAAAAAAAAATTTAAACAACAACGAAATAAAGCACATTGCACAATTGCTATAATTATAACCTTTAAGTACCTAATAATAAGTGCAACATTCATTATAATGATGTAATATATTAATATGTATCAGCATAATTAGAGATATCAGTGATGAAGACCAGCATCCTTCCTTGGGCATTCAAACCGAATTATTATAAAATGTTCAATATATGTTTAATAATTTATAATTGGATACCCACCACCTACAGAACAAAAATCACATATTTTAAGAGGCTTGGGAAGCCAAGCCCCCTTTTAAGTTTATTGAAACTCACCAAAATATTTGACAAAACTAAACCCTATACTACAATAATATGGTAGATTTAAGTCAGAAATAATATTCTCAAAATTACTGTAAAGTTGGAGTAATATTTATAAGGTATAAATTATTATTAAAAAAAATTATAATCTTTATAATCTTTGAATAATTTTTAGTTAAAATATAGGAAGCATAGTTGATAAGTAGACTATTTTATCTCCCATTGTTTGTACAATTACCTATGCACTTTAGTGCCATTTTGAGCAAGGTAACCCATAAAACAAATTTCAGGTTTAGCTATATTATTTATTTTGAGTGTGCAGGGAGAAAATGTATAGGTAAGTCGATTAAGTAATATTAAGGTGCTTTATACCCATAAATGTACTTACCAAATACAACTGGCTTCCACAATATAATATAAACTCATTAAAAGTACCTTAGTACCTACACATAATTTTACAAAAATAGTAATAATATTGTGATGTTTTCACACTAATATAGTTGGCATATTAAATAAAGTTTTTGTCACCATTTAACCCCCCCCCCTCTTATCCACCAAAAAAATTCCATGTGGCCTGGTAATGATTTGAATTTACCAATATTAGGTACCTTTTATTTTGTTTTACACGATTGTTGTTTTGAATTTCTGATAATTATCAAGTAACATTATCAGCTGATTATCAGAATATAATAAACGAATGACAGTGAAAATAAATTATAATGCCGATGCCGTGGATGCCGACGCATTGCGGCGATGACGAAAATAATTTGCTGAAAACAAGTTTAGTTATTTGGTTATGTGCTATACTGCTATGACGCTATGTGCACATAACGAATGGGTACATCAATGCCATTATTACGTGTGTTTCTCGACTTGTTTTAATTTTATCATTCTAAGGAATATTTTAATATTTTAATTTTTATCATGTAATATGTAAAATTTAGGCACAATTAGCATAATATGCGAGAAAAGTAATACAAAAAATGAGGGAAAAGAAAAAAAACAGGCGAGAAAAAGGTGATTAAATAACCCACCCATTAGTGACACTTTAGCTGTTGTTAATAATGTTAATATGAATCGTTACATTAATTTAGAGGTCGCGACACCAGAATCTTTTCAACCAGCGTTGTGGATTTCCAGGAAGATTTGGGATGGAGAAACATTTTATAAGTGGATTGTAGTGATTCGCAAGTTTGAGGTGAAATCTGTTGTAGAATGTTTTGGCTTCTTCGTTAATTGTTTTTATATGAAGGTCGTTATGGAGCGTAAGATTTGAAACGAAATAAGGGGCATTTGTAATTTTGCGAAGTGAAATATTTTAGAAAGTTTGAATTTTGTTGGTATTTTATTTTTTGACTGCTCCCCAGAGTTGTAGTCCATAAGTCCATATAGGTTTTAAAAGAGATTTATATATTATTGTTTTTGTTTTTAATTTTTTGCATTGGTTAGAATAGAGTGATTTTTGAGTATGCGGGATTGTGAGTTCAGTTCTAAGGAATATGAAATTAAAAATATAAATTTTTGAAAAAAAAATTGTAACTAAAAATAATAATATTAAACACAGTAAAAAGTATTTATGAATTTATTTAAAATAAAAAAAACAAATTTACTGATCAGATTAGATAAAATGATAAAATAATCACCTAAAGGATTTTAATAACGTACTGAGACAACTGTTAAAAAAGCAACTTAAAACAGTATAGTTACAATTCTTATTTAAAAAACAAGTTTGTAACAATAAATATAGAAACCATATTATTATTACTGATTGTAAATTATTTATGTATATAAAGCACAATTATAAATTAACTTATAATTTTATTGTAAGCAATGCAGTGATATTCCAAAAGTAAATTATTTAAACACTTTACAGTTATACATATTATAATATTTAAATTATAAGTATAATAACATAAACTCAGTAATATTATCTTTTTATAATTATTAATATAGGCTAGATAACAATTAGAAAAATACTAATACACTAATTTCTATTTGGTATTTGTAAACTTCTAATGATAAATTTTGATTAAATTTTTTTATTTCGCTGTGGACACTATGATGTGTATGTATGCTAGTTTGTTTTCTAGAATTTATATAAATTAATTGGTTTCATTTAATTTTCAAAAAAAAATATATCACTTAGATTAAAGAAATAAAAAAATGTATCATTATTCATTTAACAATTAACAAAAAAAAAACTATTCATTCTATTACAGAGAGACAAACAAACTTCAAAACCATTGCAACATCTTAATGATGACAAACGTATATATTAACAAAGCCTAATTTATAAACTTATATTTTTTTATACCTATATAAATATATATATATATTTAATAATATAGAAAAAGTGTTCATTCTGATGAAACTTTTGAATGAACACTATTAATGCACCTTTGATTTTTAATTATTGAGATGTAAAATTTGTAATTATGAATAGTAATTCACACGTTGACTGCCATGGGAAAGCATCCACACGGTATTAGTGTGTAAGAGTATTTATGTAGGCAAGTGGTGTCAGAATGACACCTTGTAACAACCTATAATTTTTTTTTTTATCAATAGAAGAATAACTGGGGAGTTAAACTAATAATGAATACTTTGTGACAATGGCATAGAGAAAATTTTGGATCAAATGACATATCACTTGCCTTCAAAATATTAAACATTATATAACAAAAAAAAAAAAAAAAAAAATTATTTTTTTAAGAAAAACAAAATGTTTTAATTCAAAATCCGGAACATCAAAAATAGAGTTTGACTCTGTGATCTTGCCATGTGATCGCAGAC